GCGTGAATCGAATCATTCAATGCGTGAATCGAATGATGCATCGAATCATTCGATTCACGCATCGAATCATTCGATTCACGCATCGAATGATGCATCGAATCATTCGATTCACGCATCGAATGATTCGATCCTGAAATTTATACCTTGCCACGTTTCCGAATCTAGCGCCATCTATCAACAACTTATACAATACAGTCTACTTCCTCCACATTCTCCCACTCTCCTCTACCTCCTCCGTCTTCTCGCGCCATCCTCTACAATCCATCCCTACTCAAAATACTAAGAATAGATTGTAACATTATTATTTTTTGATATAGTTTGTGTATTGTATAAGTTGTTGATAGATGGCGCTAGATTCGGAAACGTGGCAAGGTATAAATTTCAGGATCGAATCATTCGATTCACGCATCGAATAAATTTGAATCGAATTATGAAACAGAATACACACCATACTTTCATACATCAAAAATTCAGTAGACAGGAAAAGAAAAACGAGAATGTAAGTAACAGTCATTGCTGGTACGTATTTTCATAGCTTAATTAAAGGTTTTTCTAAGATTTGAATTCGCTAGAGGCCCAGTACTAGCAGTAGTCATCGATCGCTGTCCCTATACATATACATACTAAATATAATACTATAAATACATACATATACATATAACATATACATATACATGTAATACTAGACATACTGGACATACTGGGCTGTAAAGGCTATACGTCAGGCGGTCGATCAGTCGTTATGTATACCGGTTAATAGGGTCTTTATTTCCTATTATTGACCTCGTCGTGCATTACTTTTTGTTGCGCATTAGTTTAATTACCAAATAATTTTGAAATAATAACTTGCTATTACTGATGAATAGAATGTGTTAAAATGAGCCTAATTGTACGTAACGATCTAACAAAAGCCATATAAGAATGCCGATCGTGAAATTGACGTTGACAACCATGCGTGAGAATATACGCGTGTCGGAAATTTCAGCTGCACGCACTCTCGCCTCTTCCCAGTCTCCTACTTTATCGCATTTTTTTCTATTGAAACTGCTGCCTTCGTGTTGTTATACATTCTGGTAATGGAATGGCTTTGAAATAGAATTTGTAAACCATATAGCATGGCGATACCGGGCAACAGGCGCATTGGATATAACACGGTCACCTATGCGAGTGTCACTTGAAGTTCAGGTGTATTGTTAGGCTTTCATAATCTATAGCATAATTTAATAGTTGTAATATTTAAAATTACAATAGTTAAATTCCTAATGCGCAAATTCTGTACAAATATTAACTACTTTACATTCTTCTTATTGGGCATCGATAGGAATGGCAAGAAAGGCCAGAAGATGGAGGTAATCTTGTAGGTCTTCCTGGAACGTGAATATTTATAAATAATATTGAGAACGAACCCAGTGACTGATCCCATGACTGAAACGACCACTGAAAATGCACTGTCCACTGACATGCAAGCAGTAGCTGTCTAGTTGCCGTATTATTTTAAAAACGATGGGTTAACTTTGACCTCTTATTTACGATATATAAATAAAAACCTTTGATGCGTACATTCAGGTTAGTGGAAAAATGAACTCTATATCTAAACACGGAGGTTATGAATGAGTGACAAACGACAATCCGGAAACCGTTTTTTTTTGAAAAACAAAATAACAGACCCAAGTAATGGGTTTTGAAACGTTGAGTTCCTGTTTGGGATATCTCAATAAAACTCTTTGATGCCGCCTACATTCAGGTTACAGAGGAAAAATGCACCATATTTCTGAACACGGACGTTATGTGTGAAAAACAACTATAACTCGACATCGTTTTTTCGGAAAATGGTTAACCGACCCATAGAACAAGAGTTGAATTTTTCTTAAACAGATAATGAAACATTGTGCTGATATGAAAATGGTATTGCATATAATTTACATCGAGAACCCCAGACAGTTAAACAAATTCTTAAAGGTAGTTAGAATTACATCCACCTACGAAAGTCCACAATCTTAACATTAAATCTGACTTCACAAAAATTCAAGTACCTGAATTTAGAAATAATTGCATTTTGGGCGAGCTGGCTGTCATTTTCACAATTTCCAGATCTTCGCTTTTGATTCAAATCACGCCAATTACATTGAAAACCATTATAATCTCGCCCACGACATTTCCACTTTACAATATGCTGAAGGTAATTAGAAGTTGCCGCAGCGAGATATTCGAAAAGTACAGATTTGTGCAACTATCAAATGCCATGGCAGACCCAGCGTCTTTGGCACAATAACGATAGCAACAGCAATGGTACCAGCAACACTTGTATAGCAGTGGTAGCTACATTTGTAGATGAAGCAGTATTAGCCTTAGGAGTAGCAGATGAATTAGCATTAGCAGTAGCAATAGAGTTAGTATTTACTTTCGTATTAGGACTAGCATTAGCATTAGTAGTAGCCGTAGCAGTGACATTAGCATCAGCATAAACATCAGCATAAACATCAGCATTAGCATTAACATTAACATTAGCATATAAGGAGTAGCAGTAGCAGTAACAATAGTACCAGCGGCATCATCATCATCATTATCATCAGCATCATCAGCATCATCAGCACCATCAGCATCATCATGATCATCAGCAGCAGCAGCAACAGTAACAACAACAGCAGGAACAGAACAGCGGCAGCAAAATATTAAACATTGATTTTCTCATGCGCTTTAGATTAGTTTGAATGTTCGGCACGTCCGTACAAATAACACAGCGTAGACCGATGCTGTGTACAATGAAACTGCCTGATCGGGAAAGGCGCAGCGGGGTTGAGGCATGAAAAAAATGCAGACACGTCGGGACGCAAATACGAGCAGCTAGGGCCACGTATAGGCTTTTTAAGCATAGCACTTTGTACATCATGTAGGGTGCATAATCTGGGCATTTTTCTTCGCGCAGCAGAGGGCACGGCGGATGTAATGGCACTTTACCATTAATCGATTTTTTTAGAGTTATGATCTGCTAGGTTTTGTTGCACCGATCAATCACACAGTCAAGCCCTTTATTGATATTCACACTTGGTATTCGTCAATAAAGGTTTCTTCGCTAGAGTGTTACGCGCTTTCACATTCTTTGCGCCTTGATCCATCGAACAACTGCGCATGCGCTTTATTTAAAATTCGGAAGGCGTGCGGAAATCAACGACGCAGTTTAGAGGTTCTGTTGAAATACACTACAGAAAGCAGCAGCGATATCGATAACGATGCAACTGGACTGTTGAGTACGACAGAAAAATAACGAGCAAAACGCAACGACACACCCTAACCGTAGACCGATGAATTCATTTCTATAATGTATCTATTGACTAAGAAACTAAAAATCTAAATAACATGTTAAACATAACATAACTTATCTAATGATATATCCATATATAATTTTTAAATTATTTTGACTGCAACGAACGGACAAAACAATGACACTGAATATAGTTCGGAATTAAACGCCCTTATTTGGAATTTTGACTTGAAGAGCTTTTAGTTTTTGTCAATACAATTAATTCGACAGTACGTGCACACACGCTCATCTTAAATTTCTGTCGTTATCTCCCTATCGCGGTTTCGTCATGAATGATTCTCTTATAACGGGTCTAATGGCAGCGAGCATATTACGCTCACAAATATTCCGATGCATTATATCAGTCCGTTATTGACTCACCTATCGGCAGGATGAGAAAGAAAGGAAGCCAGCACAGTATAAAGATGCCGACCACTATGCCGAGGGTCTTAGCCGCCTTCTTCTGCTTCGCAAACTTCGCCAACTTGCTCATCACCGACGCTTTCTTCAAGTTCTCGTCGGCGACATTTCGACCGTGATCCGAATTGTGCGTCTGCTTCGTGTGTATGCGAAGCACAACGTTGTCGTTGCTCTGACCCATTTTTGTATCAGACACCTTGACACCGCTAGAGAGAAACCTGCTCTGCTTCACCGCCTCCTTATAGATCCTGAAGTAGACGATGAGGATGATGGCCAGCGGCAGGTAGAAGGAACCGCACACTGAGAAGAGCACGTAGTCTAGCTTCTCGACGGGGCCGCACACGGACGGGTCGGCCTGCGGCTCTTTCCAGCCCATCAGCGGACCGATGGAGATCGCGAACGAGAACACCCACACGCAGACGATGATGACGACAGCGCGCCGCTCCGTCATGATGCGGTAATAGGAGAGCGGCCGAGTCACACCGATGTACCTGTCCACGGAGATGACGCACAGCGACACGATCGAACACGTGCAGCAGAAGACGTCGATCGCCGCCCAGATGGCGCAGAACCAGGCGCCGAACACCCACTTCTGGATGACCTCCAGTGCGGCGCTGAAGGGCAGCACGGCGGTACCTAGCAGCAGGTCGGCGAGAGCCAGGTTGACGATGAAGTAGTTGGTCGAGCTGCGCAGCTGCTCGGTGCGGTAGACGGCGGCTAGCACGAGGATGTTGCCGCCTATGGTGAGCGCGTCGATGGCCGCCAGCATGATGCCCGTGTAAATCGCGTGAACGACATCGACGTCGTGCGACCGCTGCGAGCCGTCGCAGTCGACACTGCCGTTCAGATCGTCGGTGATGTTGACGCACGGGCCGACGTCCTGGCCGACGACTCGCGACGCCGTCTCGTTAGCGACGACGTCGCGAGGTGCGCTCAGCATATGGGCGACGAGTTGCAGCAGCGGCATCGTTCACCCGGACCACGCGTCGGCTAGCGGCGACGACCGACAGACTATTTCAGGTGTCGCGCACTCTACGGCACGGCATCCCCGCGCAGCTCGCGGGGACGGGGAGAACGCGCCGAGAGCCGCCGGCATGGACGACTTAACGATACTATGAACAGCCTTTCATCGTGTCACATCTTCATGCTACGGTTGCAGCGCGTGCGGCGCATCCAGCTAGCCACGGTAGGACTGGCGCAGGCAGCGCTGGATCGAGGAGGAGGTTACCGTACGACTTCGTTCGATTGATTGGCTTTACCAGTGCTGCCTATACGTCCGACGTCACTGAGCAAACATATACATGACGCGCATAAACACGCAAAGCTGCACGTACACGTGCATCTGTATTCATATATTCGGGCTGGCGTTATCTCGTCAAGTGCAGAAATAACGTCGAGCCGCTTATGGTGTATTACTCGATATTGATATAGGGGGCGCTCTAAGCGCAGCGACGCGCCGGCGCTGCAGCCGCCTAGTGTAGCCGACGAGGCTGCGCTACGCATGTCGAGTGAAGGGAGGGGTGTATGCAAGACAAGCTGTAAGCGAAGAGGAAGTTATTAAAAATAGCGTCAATCATCTTGCACGCAACTATGCTGTAAAGATGCGAGAAGCGATTACTATAGGCAAACACTACACTACAATCACACCCGTACGATGGAGTGTTTATAATAACTTAATAATCTAATAACTTAAAAACTTAATAACATAATAACTTTCATAAAACAGGCGGTTTAAGACAAAAGTAGTTTTATTCGATTCTAATAAAATATAAACAGTCACCTCTATAGAACGGTTAGCAGTGTCTTTCACCTTGGCGGGACGTCATAAAATGCTACAGCCGCGATGTCACGGGAGAAATTTTTACAGCAGGCGTTGCGTTGCTCGTTAACTCAGTGGAAAAACAGATAACACATGCAGCTAACGCTCGTGTTTACGCGTAAATTTTTACCGTAAAATGGGGAAAAAGAACCATCGCATATTTCATTCGATTTCTGCGCCAATGCCTCGAAAATGTGATGGCTTAAAGGAAAGTAGCTTAACACTCACAATTCGAGCTTTTTTTAAAGTACATTATCGCTAAGCCATGCTGCGGTTTACATTTTACCCATGACTCGTTGAGAATATAAAGAAGAGAGTGTTGCTTGAGCATTTACAATCGTTTCAGACGCATGACGAGTGCGACGAATACACAGACACGCACGCACGCACGCACGCACGCACGCACGCACGCACGCACGCACGCACGCACGCACACACGCACGCACGCACGCACGAACGCACGCATATATATATATATATATATATTTATGAACTAAAATCTTACCCGTGGAATGATCCGTAAAATATTAGCCAGCTTGAAAGTTCCAGGGATAAAATCATAACTTACAGTTGCCGTGCCTAGGAACGGTCAACCAACGTTTAAGAATACATGTTAGATTGCAGCCTTTGGCAACGACCAGTTCGCAATGACTTCACCCTAACCATAGCCCTAACCCTAACCCTAAAACTAACACTAATCGTAACCCTAACCGTAATACTAACCCTAACCCTAACCCTAACCTAACCCTAACCCTAACCTAACCCTAACCCTAATACTAACCCTAACCTGAAACCTAACCATCACCCACTACAGTAACTGTTCCTATATGACAACCTCTTCCCACATTTTTATCCTTTTTGCGGCTTTAATGATTACTATATTGACATATTATTACTCAAGGACCTAGTGCCAGTACTTGAGCCTTAGGTCCTCCTTCAACCTTTCTGCTAAATCTTCGGTGGAAAGGATCTAACCTTTGATGTACTCTAACCGACGAACTATTGAATAGCTGTCCGCGAAAATGACAGTTTAGCGACCGTTTTACCCATTTATTTCCAATTATAACCGCATGATTCCAATGATTCTTCCAAAAATTTAACATAAAATTAATGAAATTGGTTACGTAAAAGGTTGTTAGTTTTAAAATTTAAAATTTATGTTTAAACCCATATATACAATGTTACACAACCCACCACCATAATTAGTATAAGTATAGTCCTCCAAACAACTCTAACATGCAAACAATCACAGAGATAATTTCGACTGTGCATCTAAATGATAATCCGCATTGGAAAAATAAGATTTTTTTCATAAAAACTAAAATTAAAATGCAGCTCGTTTTAGCGTGCGTCTCGAAATTGAGAAGAAAACCAATAAAAAGTTATTTTGCCGTCGTTTCATCGAAGAAACCAAAACCAATTTTATTCGAACTCAAGCGATAATCCTAACGAAATCGTACCTAGATTTTTAAAGCAACATAACGGACTGGAAATGCAAGAACTACAACAGTGGATGATGACGACGACGACGACGGTGACGATGACGACGATGATGGCAATGATGATGACGATGATGATGACGATGATGATGACGATGATGATGATGATGATGATGAGGACGATGTTGATGACGATAATGATGATGATGATGATGAGGACGATG